TATATTATCAATCATTTCTAAGATATTATTAGTGTGACAGCATTTTGGTAGACAAAAAGTGAAAAAGGGAAAAGAGAAGGATGGATAAATTGCGGTTGTCATGGTAGCTACTTGCAATAGTTTTCCAGTACTAACTTGAATAATCATTATTTCTACCTTACCTTTCATCTACATTCATTTCATTCATTCATCTATTCCTCAAAACGAATGGAAATTCTTCCTCTATTACTATTTGTTACTGTTTATAATCATTAATTTATTTTCATTATATCCTCTATAATTATTAATCGAATTAATCGATTACTGAATATAATTTTGCCATTATTGCAAAGTGATGGAAGAATGAATTTAATTTGTCGCAATGAAATGAATTAGAAGAAATGAAATTATTTCATTCCTAAATTTTGTTGAATTATTAAATAATCGAAAACGAAATTGCTACAATAATATTCATCTGTTGATTTGAATTTCCATCAAATTATTCATCGCTATAATATCTGTATTAATTATTAATCGAATTAATCGAATAATTTTATTCATTCATATAACTGTTAAATTTCGGTAATTTTTTTGCTCGAATAAATATTATCATTGTTGAATTAAACTAAATTTAACATTAAATTAAATTATTTTAGCATACATATACATACACATACAAAAAAAAGAAAAAAGGGGAAAAAAAAAGAAAAAAACGGAAGAGAGAATTGAGCGATTTATTCTTGCTTATGCATTTATTTTCTCTTCTTCCCTAATCGAATAATCGAATAACTGATAATTGATAACTGATATAATTGGTAATGGATAATTGACTAATTTCTGTGATAGTTTCCAGTATTATTAATATTTATTTTGGAAAAATATTTTCTTAATATTTATTTCTTCGTATAATAAAGCAACAGATATATTGATATATTTTCAAATTTATTATTTTATTAGCTAATTGTGTAAAATTTGCTGATGAAAAAAGTACGAAAAAATCTGATATTAATGGAAAATTGGAAAAGTCAATCTGACTGATGTTTGAAGCAATCAATTGCTTCTTAAACATATCAAAACTTTTATGGGTTCGGGAAGTAGTGTACCGGCTCAATCGCGTCATTTAGCCGGTGGTGGTGGTGGCGGTGGTGGTGGTGGTGGTGGTGGCGGTGGTGGTGGTGGTGCAAATAATGGTGGAGTTGAAAATGGTGAACAGCAAAAAGTGGATCCACGATTACCGTATACAAATTTTCGGGAATTATTTACATTGAAGAATTATTGGAAAACTGTAAGGCGAAATGAACGTGATTGCGCCAAAATGATGATTGCTAAGTTGGTAATTTTAATGTAATGATAATTTTATTGTGACAATTATCAATGATTAATTAAATTTTTTCATTTTAATTTGAGAATTAATACCATAAATTAGTTAGCAATTGTACTAATACCGTAATTAATATCATAAGTTTTTAATACCATAATTAACGCGTAGAATTAATATTATAAGTTAATTGTTAATTGCAATGAATGCTATCACATATGATATGGTAATATACAATGAGAATATTTAAAAAAAAAGTTATGACGAATTTAAATTCAAATTTATTCGATTATATTAATCATGTAATTGGTATCTTTTAGAATCTATGCAATACTCATAGCAGATTGAAATTTAATCGAGAAAATTTAATTTTTATAGAAATTTTTTTTTTTCATAAAAAATTATAGCAATTAATTGTTGGATTAATTCGATGTTAATTTTATTTTGCAAATTTTACAATCATTTTAAATTATTGAAGCAGTTCATTTATACAATAAGTTGAGATTTTTTTTAGAAATAATTTTACATTTTTCATTTATTCATTTATACATCTAAAATAGCTAATGAATTAATTCATTATCATTGTTATTTGATGATTCACATTTTATTTTTTATTTTCTTAATTTACTATCGTTGTTTCAAGGTATTATTTTAATTTTATCATATTTTACCTAATCCTTTTTTCATTAATTTATTATCATTTTTGATTTAAAAAAGAGCTATCAAAATAATTAATTTTTATTCCTTTGATCTTCATCTTTTCCTTCTTTTTTCATAAATTACGAGCAATTTTTTTTTCTTTTTAACAAAAAACCCACAAATAGCTAATTTAATTTTCAATTCAAATTGAGGAAAGTAATTCGTTTTATTTTTGGAATTCTTCAGTAATGCAGTATTTTTCGATGCAAACAGTTTATGCTAGTTATTGAAATTGAATTCTTTTTTTTTTTGCTTTGAAAAATTAAATGCCAAAATTGGTATATAAATAATTTAGATAAGTTATCGATATAAGTTTTGGTAAATGATATATATAAGTTTTAGATTACTTTTTTGTATCAACAAATGTAATTGTAATTGGTTAAAGTTAAGGAAAAGAAACAAGCAAACAATGATTTACTGTTCCTTTTCTGAATTTTGAACTTTAAATGGAAATGAATTTTAAATTGAAATTATTCGAAATCAATAGAAAACAATGCAATTCATATTCCAAGTCGGATAAAATTATCATTATTTACTCTTCTAGAAGTATATGTTATACTATTTCAAAATATAATTAATAAATAATTTTAAACTAATAAAAAATAAATTTCAAAATGATATAAGATTGAAAAAATATTCATCGATGAAAATGTTTGCGCGAAATTTATTTGTTTAAAAAAAAAAAAAATTTCCATTCATTGAAAAATATAAAGGAAAATTTCAATTTACTCGATAATAGTTCTTAAAATTATTTCATTTTAAAAAATTAATTAGTTGAATTGGTAGAACAATTAGAATTTGCTTATTTCTTTAAGAATTATTTTGCTAGCAAAAGAAAAGCTTATCAGATGATTATAATGAAAAGTGATTAAATAGTACTGATAATACAAATATAAATTCAATTATCAGCAATGATTTTAGAGAAAGAGAAAGGAGAAGATTAAATGGATGAAATAAGATTATTAAGTAATAAGATGGATAAAAGGTTAATTAGCCTATAGATGGGATTATACTTAATGAATTACCGATTTATGCTAGTAATCGATTAATTTATATCTATCTATATTTGTAATACTATTTTTTTCTGTAAATCAATCCCTTTTTCGCTGAAAATTTCTAAACACTTTTACAATATTAAATATATCGTCGAAAATTGATTAATTTGAATTGATTAACTTTATTTCATAGTTATTATGCACTAAAATGAACATTGTCGGTAATAATAATAATAATGATAATACAGATATCTAATAATAACAAGATAATTAATAATAATAATAATAATAATAATAACAATAATAATGGTAATAATAATAATAGTAATAATAATGATAACAATAATAATATTAACAAATCTTTGCAGATACTTGAAGCATAATCCGGATTACAAGGAAAAATATCCGAAACTAAAAAACATTGACGTGAATACGGTAGATGCTGCAACGATAGATGCTGGCTTCGAAACGGTTGCAGCTAATTATTTAAAGGTTAACATTTGCTAATATAATTTTGATTGTTAAAGTTTCTATAATAAGTAAGTTGACATTTTAAGAAAGCAAAATTCAATTTTCTCAGGTATTTGATGATGTAATAACGACGGTCGAGGAAAAACCAGGTGATGTCTCAGATGCTTGTTCAAGACTTTCAGCTGTTGGTAAAATGCATAGGACTAAGGTAAATCTCTTTTTTTTTTTTTTAATTAACATAAATTATTTAAATAAAAGTATTTGTTTTGAAAAGTGAAAAATATCAGAAATTGGCGCAAAAAAGAAAAGATAGAAAATTATGAATAAAAAAAATTGAACACTTTCATTGTTATTATTATTTATTTGTTTATTTCTTCTTTTTGTTAAATTTATTTTTGAAAAGTTTTGAAATATTTAAATTCCGTATGGAATGAATGAAGCGTAAATAAATGAACATATATTGAATTGAAAAAGTAAGGTTAAATAAAATTTAATTTTTGGTAAAATTTTTGAAGATTAGTAAAAAGTTTAAAATATATTTGGGATATTTTTCTAGAAATTCAATTTGCAAAGTGCTCTTTAAAAATTGTACACAATTTTAATTGAAATGAAATAAAAAAAGACTGAACGTGACAATTTGAAATTTTGAAACTTAATTATAATTTTTTATCAAATCACTAATAACAACCTATGATTATAATTTTCATCCTTTTCTTTTCCTTTTCCTTTTTTTTTTTTTTCAATAATTATAGTCAAGGCGCATTTATATTGCCTTTGCTAAAATTGCATTAAGATAATTGAGAGCAAGAAGGAAAAAAAGAAGAACTTGATGAATTTATAAATAATTTATATTTATTTCAATTTTAAAATTTCAAAGATTAATTATAGATTTAAAATGAATTTAAATAAATATATATATCTACTCAAGTAATTTTGACATTTTTAAGAGTATATGTAAGCAACAAATCATTTGTTATTTATATTTACTAGAAAAATTAAATTTTCAAATAATTTTAATTTTTTTTATAACAAGAAGAAAAAAAAAAGTTTGCTTATTATTTTTATTAATTTTTTAAAATTAAAAGAAAAAAAGGAAAAAAATAAACATAT